CTTTTAGTCCACAGGTTGATGTTCTATCCACTGAGCCAAACCGGTTTTGGCTATAGTATTTTTTTTCTTTGCCAAAAAATTTATCAAAAAGAAGAGCAATCTAAACTTGAAGCTAGCAAAAGGAAGAAAGGAAATAATAAAAATTAGAGCAGAAATGAATATAATAGTTGGAAAAAACCATAGAGAAGATCAACAAAACCAAAACTTGATTCTTTGAAATTAACAAAATTGGCAAACATTTAGCTAGACAAGGGAAAAAAAAAAAAAAAAAGACTTATTTCTAAAAGTAGGAATGGAAAAAGAGACATAAGAAAACACTTTTATTTATGAACAACTATATGCCAACCCATACATGAGAGAACTTACATAAAATGGGTAAATTCTTAAGAAAGACACAAAGTACCTCTTCTATTCACTGTTGCATTGATATTCAGGACAACAAAGAATGAAAAAGAAATTCAGATTGAGAAGAAAATGTACAACTATATTCATAGGTTATGTCATAATGTATATAGAAAATCTTTTTTTTAAATAAATCTTTATTGTTCAGATTATTACAAATGTTCCTCAATTTTTTCCCCTCCATTGCTCCCCTCCACCAGGTTCCCACCCCATCCTCTGCCCTTTCCCAACCCCCCATTGTCCTCATCCATAGGTGCACAGTTTTTGTTCAGTCTCTTCCCACATCCCCGTTCCCCATTTCCCCAAGAATGGTCAGTCCAACTCCCCTTCCATACCTGATTCTATTATATTCAACAGTTAATATTGTTCATCGGATTTTTTAATTCCCTTGGCTTTTAGTTTCACTTGTTGATAGTTACATATTTGTTAATCATAATTTTTATCGTTATCTTCTTCCTCTTCCTAAATAACCCCCTTCAGCAATTCATATAATTCTGGTTTAGCAGTGATGAATTTCTTTAGCTTTTTTTTTATTAAGGAAGCTCTTTATCTGGTCTTCGATTCTGAGTGATAGCTTTGCTGGATAGAGCATTTTTGGCTGTAAGTTCTTGCTATTCATCACCTTGAATATTTCTTGCCATTCCCTTCTGGCCTGCATGGTTTCTGTTGAGAAATCAGCTGACAATCGTATAGGTGCTCCTTTATAGGTAACTACCTGCTTTGCTTTTGCTGCTTTTAATATTCTCTCTTTGTCTTTTGCTCTTGGAATTTTAATTATGATGTGTCTTGGTGTGGTCCTCTTTGGATTCCTTTTGTTTGGGGTTCTGTGCGCTTCCTGGACTTGTAAGTCTATTTCTTTCACCAGGTGGGGAAGTTTTCTGTCACTATTTTTTCTAATATGCTTTGGGTATCTTGCTCTCTTTCTTCTTCTGGGACCCCCATAATTCTGATGTTGGTTCGTTTGAAATTGTCCCAGAGGTTTCTTACATTATCTTCAACTTTCTGGATTCTCTTATCTTCTTGCTTCTGCGGAGGAGTGTTCTCTGGGTCTTTGTGTTCTAAATCTTTGACTTGATTCTTACAATCTTCCATTCTGTTTTTAGGACTCTGCATAATATTTTTTATTTCAGACAATGTATTCTTTATTTCTAGTTGATCTCTTTTCATATTCTTATAGGTCTCGTTTATTTTATTGGCCTTTTCTATTAAATTCTTGAAAAACCTTATAAGCATGGTTTTGAACTCTGTATCCAGTCTCTTCCTTTCCTCCATTTCTTTGTGATCTGTTTCCTTGTCTCGGCATTTTCACAGCTTCCCTGAGTTGTTAGGGTGGCTTTGTGTGCTAAGGTGTCCTATATGGTTCAGTGGGTCAGCCTCTCAGTTACCTGAGGTGGACAGCCTTGGTGGAGCCCTTTGTGGGCTGTGTGTGCAGTCTTGTTGTTAAGCCTTGCTTGTTATTGGTATCGCTGGAAAGCATTGATCTCCAAGCCAATTGGCTATGAGGATCAGAAGTGTCTCAGCTAGGAGGGCTTATGTCTATATAAAAAATGTTAAGAAATCTAACATAACTATAGAACAAGTTTATCAAGGTTGCAATATACACCTTCACCACCTAAAAATCAATTCTGTTTTTACACAGAAAATAGATGAATGGTGAATAAATGAATTTTTAAAAATCTTGACTATTACCAGTGGAAATACAAATTTAAATATAATTGATGTATAAATTAAAATGCATAATTTTACAGGCTCTTTTTATACAGTAAAGTAATATTATTCAGTGTTTGTAAAGGTCTTAGTAGATGGATACTCATATTCTATGGGTATAAATGTACTAAATCAATTTTTTTTAGAAGAACAGTTTAACCTGTTAACCAGGGAGTTCCCTTTTTAATTATGCAACGTACAATGGGCGCATAGTCTTTCACTAGGACGTGTCAGTACGTCACGCCCAGTGGACGTAATTTTATATTATTTTTTTTATTTATACTTAATTAAAATAAATGAAATATATTTTTTCGTTTATTTATATATAAAGCACAAAGGAAAATACAAAATTACAAACAAATAGAAAAGAATACCAACAAAAAAAAGGAAACATTGAATTAAAAAATTATAAATTTTATAAACAATTATAAAGATTACAAAAAATATATATTTTCTTATTTCTATACACAATAAAAAATATAAAAAAGTTAACAATTACAGAACAATAAACAAAAGCACACAGATAAAATAGAAATATTGAGTTTAAAAAATTGAAATATAGATGTAAAAATTCAAAACTCAACTTTCGTGTGATATATTTTAAAACAATTGTTGATACATAGAGTTACTTTACAATCCAGACACCAGTATGTAGATTGTTTCAACACCTTTTTTGTAGCAAACTCGGCATTTCCTGGATTTAATTTTTCCTATATCGCTTTTATTTGTTCTGGAAAATGCCTTTCAACTAAGCGTGATGGTTTAGATGTAGAGCTGCTTGTTGATGTCTTTGGGTGGCTTTTCACTATGTTGTTATCTACCAATTTCTCTACACACTCTATCAAAAAGTGTAATCAATCCAAATGCCCTTTCTCTTTTTTGTATATAATATATGCATTGAAGCAGCAAATATCAATTAATCGTAGAAAAAATTTTTTATAAATTTTTTTTACCCTATTACGGGCAGCCGTGTAGGCCACCATAACTCCATCTCCCAAATCTACGCTGCCCATATTCTTGTTATAATCCAGGACAACATTCGGTTTTTCTTGCCTTCTTCCTCTCTTTTCAATCATTGTCTTTTTGTCATTATGAATAGAACTGAGCATCAATACGTCTTTTTTATCCTTCATTTTAAAACCATAAGTTTGTCTTTGATTCTTACTATATGTTCATTTTTCTGTAATTTATTTTATTGGGGATTCTGACTCTGTTTATCCTCATTGTTCCAACAATGTCTGTATTGTTTTGACACAAGAGTTCAGCCAAATGAATTGACGTACAGAAATTATCTAAGTAAATTCTATACCCTTTATTCAGTAAGTCATGTGTTAACTCCAAAACAATTCTTGTTGATTGTTTTTCTTGTGGGTAGTTCGAACCATAATTTGTGTCCTTGCCTGTGTATAAAATTATATTTTGTAAATATCCAGATTGGCTTTCACTCAAAATAAACAACTTCATTTCAAATCTAGCTCTTTTTGTAGATATATATTGTTTCCAAATTCCCTTTCCATAATAAAAGAGACTCATCTACGCATATTTCTCGTTCACATACATTAAAACTTTTAAACTTTTCTGACAAATTATTGATGATTGGATCAATTTTATATGTTTTTCTATTATATAAAGGTTGGAGATATAAAAAATTTAAGTAAGTAATATATAATACGAAAATAGGTAGGTAAGTGTAAGTATGTACCTGTCACTGCTCACCCAGAACACGTCCACCACTCTCAATAGCGAAATTATACTGATTCCCTTCGTGTCTTAAATTCATGTCAAGACATGTATGGATGACTAATACCTTTGTTGTTCGGAAATATATGTCCTGCCCGTTTCAGGGCGCAACATATATTTCAAGTACATATTCATATGTCCTACCCGTACTCGATATTGTTTATGTTTGACGTATTTATACGTCCTGCTCGGTTAACAGGTTAAACTATAATATTAAGATTGGAATGGCTTTATAAATTATCATAGCATTCCACAATGAGGTACTGTACAATAGTTTTTAAAATGAGATAATTCCTTGTAGCCCAATATGGGATGATCTCTAAGATAACTTATATTAAAAATCAAGTTGCAGAACAAAAACCTTATGGTTTCATTTTCTTTAAAAACTAAAACAAAAATAAAAAACTAAAACATACCTACACACATTCCTAAATGCCCAAGAGTGTGTGGGAGCCCTAAGCAAAGGATTAGGCTGGATGTTCAAGGTCCGTTTGCCTTATGCATGTACAAAGGCAAGGACACAGCAGTTTTACTGTATACACTGCATAGGCGTATATTTCTATAATCCAAATATTGATGTCTCTATTTGGTAAGAACTCTTTTTTGTCTACGTTGCTATAAGAGTGTGTTGCTGGCCAGCAGGTGGCTGGCTCCTGTTTGCTGTGGCTGCTTTTGCGCAGCTGCTTTGTGGGGCTACTTTGAAGAGCTACTTTGTCTGATGGCTCCTTGTTAGCAATGGCCACTTGGTCTGCAATAAAATCTCTTATCTGCCTACCACTTCTCATATCTTCTCTGTCTAATAACCTGTGTTCAAGGGGGTACAGCACAAGTATAGACTTGTGCTTCCAATAAGCAAGGTTCAGGAGTAAATGCTCTGACAGAGTGGAAGGAAGAAGAGTTCAGTCTTGGGGATTGGGAAGAAGAGGGCTAGATTCAAAATTGGCTATTTCATTAACATACATAAACAACTTCACTTATAACTTGCTGATATCATAGACAATAAAAATGGGTATTTTCTTTTCACACACCTTTATATTCTTTAAATCAATCCCATATTTTTCTTACCTTTGATGTAAATATATACCACCTTTTAAAAAGCAGAAAGCAAGTCAACATGTTTTAAAATAAATGTCTTGGTGATTTTCTTTTAGGTGAATAGTGTATGTTTAGAAGAAGTTACTCATGAAGAAGCAGTGACTGCTTTAAAGAACACGTCTGATTTTGTTTATTTGAAAGTGGCAAAACCTACAAGTATGTATATGAATGATGGCTATGCACCACCTGATATCACTAACTGTAAGTCCTTTTGCTTTCATCTATGTTATTGTTGCCTTAGCTACTTTTCTTAGTCTCCTTGTAGTAGACTTTTTTTTTTCAGCATTACAGATGTTTCCTTATTGTCCCCCTCCACCCAATTCCAAACCCACTCCAGACCTTCACCACCCTATTGTCTGTGTCCATAGATAATGCATATAAGATCTTTTTTTAAAATATATTTCTATTAATTTTTACAGAGAGAAAGGGAGAGGGATAGAGAGCTAGAAACATAAATGAGAGAGGAACATCAACCAGCTTCTTCTTGCATACCCCTTACCAGGGATGTGCCCGCAACCAAGGTACATGCCCTTGACCGGAATCGAACCTGGGACCTTTCAGTCCTCAGGCCGACGCTCTATCCACTGAGCCAAACCAGTTTCAGCATATCTTTGATTAATCTCTTCTCGCTCCCCTCCTTCCTCCTGTCCTCTAAGATTTGTCCTTCTGTTTTCATGTCTCCATACCTCTGGTTCTATTTTATTCATGTTTATTTTGTTCATTAGATTTCTTGTTAGTTTATTTTGATTTTTAAATTTAATTGTTGATAGATATGTCTTTACTGCCATTTTATTGTTCATATTTTTTATCTCCTCTCCTCCTCTTCTTTCTTCTTTTTCCTCTTCTTCTTAATGATTACCCTTCAACATTTCCTGTAATATTAATTTGGTAGTTGATTAACTTCTGTAGCTTTTTCTGGTGTATGAAGCTTTTTATCTGATCTTTAATTCTAAACAATAGCTTTGCTGAATAGAGTAATCTTGGTTGTAGTCTCTTGCTATTCATCACTTTGAATTTTTTTTTAAAATATATTTTATTGATTTTTTACAGAGAGGAAGAGAGAGGGATAGAGAGTTAGAAACATTGATGAGAGAGAATCATCAATCAGCTGCCTCTTGCACACCCCCCACCGGGGATGTGCCCGCAACCAAGGTATATGCCCTTGCCCGGAATCGAACCTGGGACCTTTCAGTCCGCAGGCCGACGCTCTATCCACTGAGCCAAACCGGTCCCGGCTGAATATTTTTTTGTTGTTGTTGGTTTTTTTGTGTGTTTTTTTTTTGTTTGTTTCTGAACCGATTTTATTATACAGATGGGGTGGGGCTCAGTCCTTGGCTGCTGCCTTCCTCATGGCTGCAAGGACATTGCTCAGCTCCTCTCTCTTCCTCTTGGCGCAAATGTGTGTCCCTACCCTTTTCTTGATGAATTTCAGGGCCCTCTTGTCCTTAGAGACCTTGGCACAATGTTCATAGGGGGCAAAGCCACACACCTCTCGGATCATGTCCCGAACGAACTTGGTGTGCTTGGTGAGGCGCCCGCCGCGGCGGCTGTGCCTTGGCTTGCTCACGTTCTTGGTCACCTTATGGCCCTTTTTGAGGCCCACGGCCATGGGGTAGTGCAGAGCCATGGCTGCTGCTCTCCTCAATGGCTGCCGGCGGAAGGGCTCCACTTTGAATATTTATTGCCACTTCCTACTGGCCTGCAAAGTTTCTATTGAGAAATCAGCTGACCGTCACATGGGCACTCTCTTGTAGGTAACTGTTTCTCTTGCTGCTTTTTATTCTTTTTTTTTTCTTTAACCTTTGGCATTTTTATTATGATGTGTGTTGGTATGGGCCTCCTTGGATTCCCCTTGTTTGGGACTCTGCATTTCTTGGACTTATAAGTCTATTTCTTTCAACAAGTAGGGGAAGTTTTCTCTTATTTCTTCAAAGAGGCTTTCAATATCTTGCTCTGTCTCTTCTCCTTCTAGCACCCCCATAATGCGAATGTTGGTGCACTTGAAGTTGTCCCAGAAGCTCCTTAACACTATCTTCATGTTTTTGGATTCATATTTCTTTTAGCTCTTCTGATCAGGTGTTTTATGTTTCCTCATATTCCAAATCATTCATTTAATTCTCAGAATCCTCTACTCCACTGTTGAATTCTTGTAAGTTATTCTTTATTTTAGTAAGTGTATGCTTAATGTCTGACTGGCCCTTTTTCATGTCTTTGATGTTCTCACTAAGGTTTTGAAAATTCTCACTAAGATGCTTGAAAATCCCTTGAAGCGCTCAGTAAGATCCCTGAGCAACCTTATAACCATTGTTTTGAACTCTGAATATAGTAGTTTGCTTCCATTTCATTTATTTCTGTTTCTGGAGACTTCTTCTGTTCTTTCATTTGTGACATGATTCTTTGTCTGCACATTTTGGCTGCTTCCTGGTGTTTGTTTCTGTGTATCAGGTAGAGCTGCTATGTCTCCTGGAATTGGCAGAGTGGCCTTTGTAGTAGGTGTCCTTTTGGGTCGAGTGACTCAGCCTCCCCAGTAACCTGAACTGGGCCCTCTAGGTGCACCCTTTATGGGCAGTGTGCACAGTCTTGTTGTAGTTGAGCCTTGATTGCTCTTGGCATTAGCAGGAGGAATTGACCTCCAGGCCAGTTGGCTGTGAGGACCAGCTGTGACTATAGTGGAAGAGCTGCTATGCAGGAGACACTCCTGTGGAGCAAGACTTGCTTCATTGTGCTTTGGTGCTCACTAAGACTGCCCCTTAAGTGTGTCACTTGTGTATATGTAGGGTTGTAATCTCATGGTTTGAAGGTTTGAAGCTTTCCACCAGGTGTACTGGCTCATGGGTCTTCCTGGAGGTGTAAAGTCAGCCACTGCCTGGGGCCACATAGCAGGAGCTACAGATTAATCTGCACATAGCTGCTGCTTGTACCAAGTCTGGAAGTGCCCAGGCAAGGCCCAGCTCTGAAGCAAAGAAGTCTGGTACTAGTCTTGGGTCTTGGGCCTCTTAATGAAAGGTATGGGGTACAGTGATACCAGCTGCTGCTTGTTTGAGAGTTTTTAGGAAAACCTATCCTGAACTAGAACATGCCATTCATATGGAAAAGTTGCTGCAAACAGCTTGGGGCGGAGAAGGGGTGTCTCAGGGAATCACTAGGGGGGAGCAAGCAGTGTGAGACAAGCTGATGAAAACTCAGATATGGCTGTTGGTCATCTCTGGAATTGAGGGGAAGTCCCAACATGGGAACAAGGATCCCTGTGAGATATCCTGTCTGTGAGAAAGCTGTACCTGAGTTCTTACCCAGACAATACAGTTCCTCCCTGAATGTTCCAGGTTTCTGTCAAACTGTTGCCCTAGTGCTGGCCCTTTGAGAAGAACTGCCTAGATCTCTAGCAGCAGCTGTGCTACTCAGCCCAGTTATCACTGGTTTCTACAGCCTGAGGTTACTAGGACTTTTCTTTCCAGCTCTTGAACCTTTGGCTGTGTGTCCAGTGAGGGGCTGGGACCTCTTTCTCCTCACTGGAGGCCTCCGTAGCCACAATATCCTTCCTGATTAAAAACACACCACACATGGGCATCATACCTCTCCCCTCTTACAGTCTCAGTGTGCTTTCTTCTTTACTTCTCTACTTTTAGGGTTTACATTCAGCCAGATTTCAGGTGGTTCTGAATTATGTATTTTTAGTTATAATTTTGTTGTGGTTTTTGCAAGCAGCATGTAACAGCATTTACCTATGCCACCATCTTGATTCCCCTGTATTCTTAGATGTTAATGTATCTTTATAAAAAGTTCACAATATAAAGTTAAGACATTATACAAATATTTTTAAAGGAACTACTAAGCATTTTAACCTAATAATTTTTTTTAACCTAATAATTTTTAAAAATCAATTTTAAGTTAAAATCTTCATAATGGGGGTAAGGCTTTTCTTTTTTTCTTTTTTTCTTTTTTAATATTTTATTGATTTTTTACAGAGAGGAAGGGAGAGGGATAGAGAGCTAGAAACATTGATGAGAGAGAAACATCAACCAGCTGCCTCTTACACACCCCCCACTGGGGATGTGCCCGCAACCAATGTACATGCCCTTGACTGGAATCGAACCTGGGACCTTTCAGTCCGCAGACCGACGCTCTACCACTGAGCCAAACCAGTTTCGGCAAGGTGGGGCTAAGGCTTTTCACCTTTATTGTTTTATAACAGCAATTACTAACATTTAAAGCATTGATTCTCAAACTTTTATGTAAATAGCAGTCGCCAAAAGTTATTTGTAAATAATGTAGATTCTTGTTTTGTTTTAATAGTTTTGGAGTACAGAAATTTATTTAAACAAGCAATTCTTTTAACAAGCAAGATAATTTTAATGATTCTAGTGCTGCTGGCTCATGGCCCACACTTTGAGAAACACTAATTTAAAATACAGTATTTCAGAAACTTAGACTTTTCTATAGTCTCAACTATGTGCATACAGATGTTATTTCTATACTTCAAACTCCTAGTGTATTCCCTAACTATATTTGTTTACAATACAATTGTGTTGCCTGGAATTAAATTGTTAATGAAAGTACTTATGTTGTTTCCTATTTGATTGTCATTTTTTTTTAATGTACAAGCTGAGATGAAATTTAAATATTTTAATGTATTGGTGTTGATTACAAAATGAAAGTTTTTTTTAATTTGGTGCATTGAGCTCATTTTAGAAGCACCATGTGTGGTAAAGATCTTTAATATATTCCTTGTAATATCTTTCATCAGGTGTTTTTTTTTAAATTGTAGAGATATTTGTGAATTTTGCAAGTGTAAATATTTCTAATTTTAAACTTGGCAAAATTCATTATCACCAGTAATTATTGTAAGTTAAATACAAATTATAGCTCTAGCTGGTTTGGCTCAGTGGATAAAGTGTTGACCTGTGGACTGAAGGGTCCCAGGTTCGATTCTGGTCGAGGGCACATGCCTAGGTTGCAGGCTCAGTCCTCAGTAAGTAACCAATGAATGATTCTCATCATTGAAATTTCTCTCTCTCTCTCTCTCTCTCTCTCTCTCTCTGAGAAATCAATAAAAATATATTTTTAGAATATACAAATTATATTTTGAAATACATTTACTGTCCTCCAGTGTTACATCTTTATTATCTGCTCATTATTTATGCAAGTATAACATAGTATTTCACTAATATTATTCAGTCTCTTTAATGGACAAGAATGATATC